TTACAGTAGGAATGTTTGAGCAAAAAAGTGGCATAATCAGGGACATTTTGTTGGCACTGATCTGTCCCAGTGAGAAATGTGGAACCAAATGGAGAGACCCACAGGCAAAGATACAGACCAGTAAGAGGCTAACCGTAGAGTCTAGGTGAGAAAATAGCCTTAAACTAAAATAAGTAGTAATGAAAATGGAGAAGAGAAAGACACAAAACATCGTCATTTTTTGCTGGACAAGGGAAACACTGAAGGTGATCCCGAGATTTTCAATTTGGGTAACTAGGAGAAGGGATGGTTAAACATTAACCAATCCAAGGAACATTAAAGACCATGTGCTATGGAACTTGCCATCACTGCACATGGGTTTTCTTTCATCACATTAGGCCATGGGTGGCCGCCATGTGCAGCACTCTTCAAAATAGTAGTACTTGGGACTGTTCTTGAATATTATATGGCAGGCGCTACCAGTAATGTAAAAGGCAACAGACCCATCTGCCTGAAGATAATTAGGATATAAAACATAATCCACATGCATTCTGTAGTTGGAATTGGCTATGACTGGCTTTATTTTGGAATCTTTGGGGTTATTTGAAAGGGTATATGGTTTGCCAAAATTACTAGGGAGACTGCTTCTTTTTCACATCAGCCAGTATAGTCCTATTCATTATTTCCAGGCTTGGATCTGGAGAAATTGGAAACAACTCTACAAGCAGGCCCTGGTCTCTAGAGCCATTTTTTTTTTTAAGATTTCATTTATTTATTTGAGAGAGAGAACATGAGTAGGGAGAGGGAGAAGCAGACTCCCCACCAAGCGGGGGGGGTGGGGGTGTGTAATGACTCTTTCCCAGGACTGTGGGATCATTACCTGAGCCGAAGGCAGACACCCCTCAAGACAGACATTATAAAAAAAAAAATCCCAGGGGTGCCTGGGTAACTCAGTTGGTTAAACATCTGCCTTCAGCTCAGATCATGATCTCCAGGTCCCTGCTCAGTGGGAGTCTTAGTGGGGAGTCTGCTTCTCCCTCTCCCTCTGCCCCTCCCCCCACTCATGCTTTTTATCTCTCAAATAAAAAAAAATCTTTTTTTTAAAAAAAGCCTGTTTTGATAATAGAGGTAGATCTTTTACGTTTTTAGTTCAAATTGCATTTTAAAATTTGACCTCCCTTAACTTTGTTTATTCCACTTTTCAAAAACAAAAGATCTGTATGTCACTCAAGGAATTTGAACATCTAGTAATTTTTTTAAGCAAGTGGTTTTGTTTGGCTGGTTGGTTGGTTGGTTTTGGCTTTGAAAGCACTTATTCCTACCTGCTCCTAGTACTTGTTGTTAGCACCTTATTTCAGAATCAATAATGAGATTCTCTTTAATGAGCACTTATTATAGGCCAGGTGCCATATTGAATCCTTTGCATACATTTTTTCCCACTGATTATCACAGCACAGCACTTTGTATTTATGAGGGAACTGAACCTTAGGAAGGTTCGTGAATTCACCCAAGGACACACTGCTGGAAAGTACTAGAGCTGGACCTCAGGCTTGTCATTTCACGCCATGTTGCCAAACCCCTTGATCATAATTTTAGTCTTTGTTATTTTCTGGTCATTTTTTTTTTTAAAGATTTTATTTATTTGAGAGAGAGAGAATGAGAAATAGAGAGCACGAGAGGGAAGAGGGTCAGAGGGAGAGGCAGACTCCCTGCTGAGCAGGGAGCCTGACATGGGACTCGATCCTGGGACTCCAGGATCATGACCTGAGCCGAAGGCAGTCGCTTAACCAACTGAGCCACCCAGGTGCCCCAACTTCTTAAGGAAACTTTGGTCATTGAAAACAGAGACTCTCTCTGTGGCTGTCCATAGGAGAAGTTTCTAGTCCAGAATTCTTTTCATCAGGTTTCCAGAATGGTACTTTGCACAGAGTGGATACTCAGCAAAAATTCTATAGACTGATTCCAAAAACAGGACAGGAATTCACTGGAAATAGTCACAAAGTCTAGTGACAGAAATCAAATTACCCCATGTGTTTTTCTACTAATTAAGATCAAAATATACTTTATGCATGGAACACTCTCAGGCTCTCTGCTGGGCATGGGTGGCATTTGCAGGGCTGTTCTTTTGCAAAATTTTCTCTAGCACCAGAGAAGCCAGAGCACTGTATGAGTTGATACACAGGGACGTGCACACCATAGTTGTTCTGTGTCCTAATAAAGAAACTCTTTTCTTTTCTTCAGATCTGTTCCCAGTTAAGTACCAGACTGGAGACACAGCAAGCGGCCAGCAAGGAGGAGCTAGAAGTGGTAAAGGTGAGGGAGAGAGAAATAGCTCTGTGGTTTGGCTTCTTCCAGATTCACAGTCTTACCTCACTACCTGATAGGACGATCCCAGTGCGTGAGGACGCCCCCCAGGCAGGACAGTTTATGACGTCACGCCCGCCCTGCCCCTCTCGGTGCGCGGAAGGATTTAGAAACGCTGGATAACAGAATCTGTCTCTGCTCCGGGTGTGATCCTCTTCACTGCCCGCGGAACGGTTGTGTTCCCATCAGTCTCAGGGGTTGTCGGAGGCAGGTAGTAGGACTTAAGCCTTGTCACAAGAGGCCCCGAGCCTTCTTGGACGGTGGACGCCCGGGAGCCCCCAGCATCCCAACTGTGCCTGAATGGATGTGGCTTCGGGATGCGACCCCGGAGGATCATCCCGTTGCTCTCCACCCGTTGTGTAGAGAGCATTTGTTTATATGCTGCCCCCTGGTGGTGAGACTCCGTTGTTGCTTATGTGAGAAAAGCGATTGCTTGTTCCATAGCAACAGCCGCAAAGCAAATGAATTGGTGTCTTAAGCAGCGTGGGCACGGCCGGCTCTCGTGACCTGCATGACAGAAACCCAACGGAGTTCTCTTTGAATATATTCAGGTTGGATGCTAGTGCATAAATGCGTTCTAGGCACGTTAGCATATCCCTGAACAACTTGGACCAGTTATTTACCTCTCTAAGCTATATTTTGTACCCTGTGAGATAGAGACATTACCTGCCTCGGCGGGTTATTTTTAAGATTAAATAAGATCACATATATAAAGTGCTTAGCTTAGTGGTTGGCACACAATAAACACATATTTTTGTAAGTTTATAACCTGAAAATCTGAGACATGAGAACTGAAAATATGAACCTTGTTCTGACTTTGTATCCCAAGTGGTTTTTTCTTATTTCCTGTTCTAAAACAGTCTGTTATTAGTGACTATGATGTTGGTCATCTCCCTGCCCAAACCTGCTAAAATTTTGGGTTCATGTCTTTCCTCTCCGGGCTGCCTTTACCGTCTTCCTCCTTAGCCTTTATCATCCTTTTATTTACACTAACACTCAGTTGATGAGGTGCCTTGGCATAAAAGCGTTAACTATCCTGAACTAAAATCTTCGTAGAAATATAAATGAAGTGAATTTATATAGATCACTCAAGGTTTTATTGAGCATCTAACTCGGTGCACAGCTGTTAGACTAATGTTGTTTTACAGAAATTATACATAACAAAAAGTTTAGAATTTTCCTGGGAGCAAGTTATACATATGCATGTGAAATATTTAGGGAATATTTCAAAAGCATGTAAGTCAGCACTGAGTTGGATGACACTGACAAGCAGGGTTATACAGAAAGCAAAATCGTAAGAACTACAGACCAAAGATGAATTTGTGGAGGAGGCTGGACTGAAGCAGGATGGGTAGAATTCTGTGAGAAGGATTTAAAAAGGACGTTCTGGAAGAGACTGTGAGTGAAGACCCAGAAATCACAATGAGTCTCGTTAAGGAGACTAATGTGCTTCGAGTGTGTATTAAGGAATCGAGGGAAATACTGGATAAAGAGGTAGGCTTGGCTAATGAAAGCCCATGACATTCAGGCAGAAGAACTTGCACTTGTTTTAGCTGAGTAAAGAACAACAACTAACACCTACTAAACACTTTCTGTGTGTACTTTTCCAAGGATTATCCCATTTAACCTTCACAAATTCCTGAGAAGGTAGACCCTATTATATCTTCTTTTTTAAAAAAGATTTTATTTATTAGAGAGAGAGAGGGAGAGAGAGCACAAGCAGGGGAGCTGCAGAGGGAGAGGGAGAAGCAGTCTCTCCGCTGAGCAGGGAGCCCGATGCAGGACTCGATTCCAAGACCCTGGGATCATAACCTGAGCCGAAGGCAGACGTTTAACCGACTCACCCACCCAGGCGCCCCTATTATATCTTCTTTTTAATGATTTATTAGATCTTGGTTTATTTATTTATTTGGACAATGATCACCAAATCAGGTCATTCATGATCTCAAGGTCACAGTAAGTAGTAAGGCCAGGATTTGAACCCAAGGAGTGAGACTCTACTCTCCGTAGCCTTGGTTACTACACTGACCTACAGCCTCTTGCCCCGGTGCTACTTCCTTTTCATCTCTTGTTCGGCGCAGTGCTGTGGCTTTTGATGTGTCCGTCCTCCCATCACACCATTCCCCCTTCAGGTAATCCTCTACACTAGAATTAGAATGAGCATTCCCCAAGATAAATATGACTCTCTCACTCTGTGTATCAGTTTAGAATTAGATTGGCCACAGAGAGGAAACCCAAAATAACAATGGCTTAAACACAAAAGATGTTGATTATCTCATAAAAAAAAAAAAAAAAGTCTTGGGCTAGAAAGATCCTTGGTTTTATCAGCAATCCACACTCGTCAGTTATCGGTGACCCACACCCTCAGCATGGGCTTCCATCCTCAGGGTGACTTGAAATCAACTGGAGTGGCCCCCCTCACACCCACCTTCCAGGGTAGAATTTTAGGCCAGAAGGAGATGCAAGGGTACAAGGACCCACCTCCAACTGGGTGAGCTCTAAGTGGCCTTCCTTAAAGCTCCATACCACACTTTGCTGACCTATCAGAACTGAATTTCATGGCCACACTTAGCTTCAGGGGAGTCTGGGGAATGGCATCTTTTAACTGGGCAAACTGCCAGCCCAAATAAAATCCAAGTTCTGTTAGTAAGGAAGACGGGGAGATGGATGCTCAGTGGGACTCTGCAGCCTCCAGCACACGTCTGTTCTTCAGCTCGCCTGTGGACTGCAGCCTCATGAGGCTCGCTGCTGTCTCTCCAACGTGGAGCACAAGATGCAGTGCAGGCATTTTCTATAGGATAAAATCGGGATTCGATAGCATTACAGTTGAGAACCTTTACCACGGGGCCATGGAGAACCCTTGTCACTTCCTTCCTCTCACTGCTGAGCCATCTCCTCCCGCTGGGCCCTGCTCCGACTCCCTTCAGTTCTCTGAAGGGCCAGCTTCCTTGCACACCGTGCTCTCCCTGCTGAAATGTCCTCCTCCCTCAGGGAGTCTGTTCCTTCATATGGTTCAGCCTAATAGAACTGCTTACCCAGTTTGGTAAACTTCTAATCATTTAAGACCCAGATCGAAAGCCAGTACTTTAACACCTTATTTAGTCAACAAGGACTATATATAACAAATACTTGCTGTGTGCTTATTTAGTGCCAGTAGTGGGCTGATTATTCTTACAGGTTCTGAAGAGAGTTACCAGATATCTTTCAAGTGTCTAATGAATATTAATCAGGTAGGAATCTGAAGAGTGCCTTAAAGATGGGATAAGAAAGCAATCAGGGTATGTGTTGTAATGAGCACTGGGTATTATATAAGACTGATGAATCACAGACCAGTACCCCTGAAACCAATAATACATTATATGTTAATTAAAAAAAAAAAAGCAATCAGTGGGGGCTGAGAAGGTGATTTCTAGGGATTCAGGCCTGGGATGAGAAGAGCTTGGACATGTCAGAGAAATAATTTAGTGACCAGCTGAATATGGAATGAAGGAGAAGGGAAAGAAAAGATGACCCCAGTGTTCAGGCCTAAATGATGGAAAAACAGGCATAATGATACAGAAATGTGAGGAGAGGTTGTGTGTGTGTGAGTGAAGAGAGGAGTGTAGTTTCGGTTATGGACATATTATAATATGTAGTAGTATATTAAAATAGAAATATTCTGTAATATCTTTTAGCTCTAAACTATTTTTGGAAGTATTTTAAGAAAACAATAGCACCAGTGTGTTGAAGAGTTGTTTTTGGTCAGTGCTCTGCACCTGATTGGTAGGCCAGGCACGAGGCAGAGTTACTTTCATTACCTTGAACAATAATGATCCTCTTTGCTTTAAAGCTGAACCAAAGGACATGACATAAACTTTGTTGCAAGCATAGATTTAGGTCCATCACAATGACCTTTCTCAGTCTACTGTGGGCCAGCTACTTAGACTCTTGAAGTTCTTCACTTACAATGGGGGTGATAAGAGTATGTGGTTTTACGGTAACTCTAGGATTCAGGAGACACTGCGTGGAGAGCCTATGGCATGGGGCTCTAGAAAGACTAATGGCAGCACAGAATTTCTAGAACAGGTTTCACAGAGATGCTCTCATAGTTTCCATTTCCAGGGTCTCTCTAGACATACTTTAAGAAACAAGGAGCACCTAACTTGCACAGTTGGGTTTTTTTTTTTTAAAGATTTTATTTATTTGACAGAGGGAGACACAGAGAGAGAGGGAACACAAGCAGGGGGAGTGGGAGAGGGAGAAGCAGGCTTCCCGCCGAGCAGGGAGCCTGATGCGGGGCTCGATCCCAGGACCCTGGGATCACGACCTGAGCTGAAGGCAGACGCTTAATGACTGAGCCACCCAGGCACCCCCACAGTTGGGTTTTGTGCTAAAACCATTTTGGTTGCAGCGCAAGAAAAATAATTACCTTCAGAAGTAGGCCTGCCTTTGAGGACCACAAGCAGCATCTACATGAACATCTTCTCTTGTTTCAGGAAGTGATTTCTGCCGTGAAGTCGTTTGATGTGGGTTCTCTCTTTGGCTATTTCAGGGTAAAATGATGGCCTGTAAACACTGCAGCGACATTTTCAGCAAAGAGGGCGCTCTGAAGCCCGCGGCCGTCAGCAGGGAGGAGCAGGGCGTAGACCTGGCTGATGAGAAGGACGCCCTGAAGAAGCAGCTGAGGGAGATGGAGCTGGAGTTGGCACAGACCAAGCTGCAGCTGGTGGAGGCCAAGTGCAAAATCCAGGTCGGTGACCAGAGAAGACACACAGTCTGTGCCCTAGGACACATTCTCGTCCTTTGGGCCCACCCATCCAGCTCAGCATCTGAAGATGTTTCCACATACGATGAACACAGCTTTGGCACACTAATGTGTCCTCCATAGTCACATTTTACATCATTATTTTTAAAGTGACATAAACACATAGTTTTAAATGAAAATGTAGTGATTAAAATAATATCCTAGAACAGGTTTAAGCATATGCTTTTTTAGCTTACCCTGAGATTTCTGTTGCCAAGGCCCCTCCTTCTCATCGAACTTCAGTCACTGTGGTAGCTGATCCTGAAAATGAAAGGCCAGACCTTCTCTGTTGTCCTCCCCTGACAGGTGAACATTAGCTGACACCATTCTTTGCTTTGGAGCTTTTTCTCCTTCATCTTTACCTGACTTTACCAAATCCCTTTCCCCAAAATCTGTGTCCGTATCGGAAGATAACATAATTAGAAAAATAGTCCTGGCTTCTGATGGACTGTTTCCATTTCCTTTTTCCCAAGGTCCTTACCCACCACCATAGCCTGCCATGCCTCTAACCTGAGCCGCACTAGCGACCCTTAACCATTTCTGTGCTGGACCCAGGACGTTCTCAGGGGCAAAGGCCATGTGTTTGCAACTAGAATTCATTCATTCTTACATCATCAGTAGAAGTTCATCCATATGTCTATTTGTTGTTTCAAACATGTTGTTACCTAAACCTAAATTTGGACCAAAAACGCAGGGGGAAGAAAAGATAAAATGAGGTTTCATTTCACTGTTCAGTGGAAGCAAGATTCTGACTTTCAGTGGTAACTCTTAGCCCTAAACTGTTTTCTTGCATTAAGAAGCCAATTAAATCTCTTGTGGGTTTTGTGGGGGGACAGCTGCAGCTATACAGGCCGGGGGATTCCAAGAAGCTATACTTTGGTTTTTTGGGCAGAGAGAAAACACTTGTATAACTCAGATGATTTTCTTTTCTTAATTAGGAACTTGAACATCAGAGAGGAGCCCTTATGAATGAAATCCAAGCTGCAAAAAACTCTTGGTTTAGCAAAACCCTGAACTCTATCAAAACGGCCACGGGCACCCAGCCGCTGCAGCCACCACCGGTCACCCAGCCCCCCAAGGAGAGCACATAGTTCCAGCCTCCCCACAAGCACAAGAGCACAACGATCAAAGGGACAGAAACCCAGGAGGAATCTCCCCGTATCCCTTTGCAGGAAAGTACAGGAGGCCAGAAAGCAAGCCAGGATCTCTCAGTAGCTCTCACTCTTTCTCGTTTGACACTTTGCAAAGGGATGTTTAAACTGACCTGAGTTATGTTGAATACCTGCTTTCGAGCTTCTTCATGGAAGGCCATGTTCAGTTCCATCATAGTATTACCCATTATTTTATATGCCTGATGTTTAGTTGGAAATAAGTAATTCAGAACTAAATGCTTTTTATTTAGAACTAATTATTCATAATTACACTTATTTTACATGAAAATGGAGATGTCTTTTATTCCAAGGTTGAAGTGATAGAATGATATTTGTCACAGAAAAAGAAAAGAAAAAGCAAAAAGATTGAAATATAAACCTCTTATCTTTTCAGAATTTATTCAGATAAAGCACACTGTGGGACCATTTATGACAACTGTCAGGTTTCTTCCTGAAAGTGACTCCCTGGAAAACGATAATCCTGTCTAAAGAATAAACCTGGGATTGAACAGTCCCCCCAAAAAGAATGAGTTTATTTTCATTTTCTGATGGGTATATCTGGAAATGAAGTACCAAGAACCATGGAATAAGATAGACTATTGAGAAAACACCCTAGATGAACAGAGATTTTGATAAATGCAGGATAAGATAAATCATTTGGCCCTAGTATTCTAACAGGTCCTTTTGAGAAACTCTACACGGGAATTGCCGATTCTTAAGTCTGAACACAGTTGTGACTTACAGCAAACGTGAAGTCAGAGGTGGCTATTGTGAGTTGCAGCATTAGGGAACCTTTACCAGAGAAGCCTAGAAAGGCCCAGGGTCAGCCATTGTGCTTCAAATGAAATAGAGAACCAGGGACAGAGTATTTCATTTAATGTTGACATATATTTGCTAAGTAAACACTAATATACTTTACTTTTTAAAGTTATGAAATGGGAAATAAAGGTCAGCTTCACATCATCTTAGTTTACTGTTAGACAACTTTTACTGATTTCTGTATCTCCCTAAAATGCCCTTGGTACCCCAGATGAAGAGATGCAAATGCATTGGTAACATTTTTGATTGAATATAAAATCTTTATAGAAATACTTATCTCATGGAGAAGTAAAGCTGTTCTTTAAAAGTTGGTGGAAATTGTTTTTTTTCAATTATATTTAACCTGTCTATATATATAGTCCTTGCAGGAAATCTTTTGGTAACTGCAAAACTAATTTTCACATTTTCTCAGCTAGTTTGGAGGCTTTGGTCCTTTTATGCCAACCAAACTACTGTCCGCTATGTACAATAACATTTATTGATACTCATACTGCGCTTCATTGTTGAACATATTCTTTGCAAAGGATCTTAAACTCTGTAGCCAGAGTGATTCTCATCTGTGCCATATGTTGCAATTAAAAGTAACACATTCTTAGAAGCCTGGGTGGCTCAGTCATTAAGCGTAAGCGTCTGCCTTCGGCTCAGGTCATGATCCCAGGGTCCTGGGATTGAGCCCCACATTGGGCTTCCTGCTATGCGGGAAGGCTGCTTCTCCTTCTCCCACTCCCCCTGCTTGTGTTCCCTCTTTCGCTGTCTCTCTCTGTCAAATAAATAAAATCTTAAAAAAAAAAAAAGAAGTAAAAATTAAATAAGAGCCATTTCAACTCCAGGAGCATGCACTATAAGTTGCTCATAATAGATCCTTTCCTCCAAAATGATCTTTAAACTCTAAAGAGTTAAGTCCCCTTCATTGGTGTTTATTATATCATCTACAA